CTGTGACTCTGGCAGCAACTACCTCAGCCTTTTTCCTTTTACATTTTTTTTCATGATGACAGTGGTGAGCTTCTGCCTCCCCTGCCTCCCCTGACTGCACATCACTGGTCTGTTCTTCCTCAAATTAAAATAATGCATGGAACATCATCACTGATGTTGATGATTTTATAGGAAAGTTCATTTTAAAATCTCAAAAAATAATATACACAATTTAAGACAAAAATGTAAACCCTGATTTTCTCAGATATATTAGGATAATGTATACTTCCAGCTATGTTTGCTCACTCAATTATGTCTTTATGCACCCAGTTTTAGAAAAAAGCCAGTTGATAAGGTATCATAAAAAAAAATTTAAAGGCATAATTTGATGTTTCACTACCATAGACATTTTCCTCCTACAATGATCCATGTTGCAGAAACCATGTCTCATAGCCATTTTCTATGTAAATCAGATGCATTATGTAGGGGATTGAATATGACCAGGAAGTGATTGATTATTTCTTGTACTTCAGAATGTAAAGCTGATTGTGAAGCCTGCTTTAATCAAAATTTCTGTACGAAATGTAAAAATGGATTTTACTTACACCTTGGAAAGTGCCTTGAAAACTGCCCTGACTGGCTGGAACCAAACAATCACACTATGGAATGCAATGATATTGGTAAATAAATTGTTTATTTATCCAGTAAACAATTCTAAGCGAATGCTGTTTTGCTACTGTTGGCTCTCTGTAAAGGCAGACAGCTTAAAGTTAAGAAAGTTAAAGAAAAGAGCCTCACACAGTTTGTTTTATAAAATAAAAGATGTTCCTCTTTATATTTTAGAAGTTTGAATTTCAGAGGGAGTGAAATAGTAAAAGAACCACTGAAAACCACAGGAAGTATTATTTGCCCAAAATATTCTGCTCCAGCTTTCTCCTTACCCATGCTAGGAGTGGTTTTTTATATAATATTTTATTACTGTTTTCAGCCCAGAATGTACAGCCCCTTTTTAACTGAATTAAGAGGCCTCTTTGCTTGTGCAATGCAATGATATAGTCATCATCACATTATTTTGTTATTCAATATTCATTCAATTCTACTTATTGTACTTCTTTTTCACTTTGTAGTATATAGAAAAGTTCTGGAAATCACAGTGCAATTGCTTTAGATCATTTTCCCACTAGTAACTTAGCAGGGTTCAAACTTCTTCAGGCCACATATTAGTTATAAAGAAGTCCTGAAATTCCTGATTAAGAGACAATGCGCTAAAGATGGAAAACTGGTTGTGTTCAAGATTTTTCTTTGTTTCAAAATTTCTGACTTATAGCCTCTTCTATGGTCCATAAAATCCTTTATTGTGATAAGGACAGACTTTATATTACTCCAGTGATTGCTGGGTGATGCTTTAAAGAGGTTGCATGTCACCAGTGTGAAAATGAGCCTTCAACAAATAAGAACTGCAGCCATATTTGAATATTTGAGCAAACGAAAAAGGCTCCTGGCTCTTGAGGAGTAATTTTAGATGATACAAACTTATATAGAGAGATTTTTCCTGTCTATGTTTAATTTACAGACTAAATATCTGGTGTGCATTGAGATGGGTGTATCTCATTGGCTATTGATCAATATTAATTGATATCATGTTTTTGTTACAGTGCATTGTAAAATTAATGAATGGAGCCAGTGGAGTCCTTGCACAAAGAATGGAAAAGCGTGTGGTTTCAAAAGGGGAAATGAAACAAGGGTCAGAGAAATCCTACAGCTTCCTTCAACAAAGGGCAAATTATGCCCACATACAAGTGAAACAAGAACATGTGTTGTACAAAAAAAGAATTGCCAGAAAGGAGAAAAAGGTACTTAAGATTATTATTGCCAAATAGTTTTAGCTAATGAAAATCAATTCCATTTAAAGTTTATTTCACCAACAATTTTGTTGGGCTTTGATAAAAATATATACATAAATTGACGTGATGTGTTGGTATTGTTGATTTATAGCCGTGATGGCGAACCTGTGGCAAGTGTGCCACAGGTGATATGCAGGACCCTCTCTGCAGGCATGCCAGCCATCACCCCAGCCCAGCTCCACTGTGCATGCGTGCACATCTCCTGCTGGCCAGCTGGTCTTCGAGTCTTTGCTGCACATGCGGGGGGTGGGGCACATGTGGGGAATACACATGTGCATGCCTGGGGGGAGGGTGCATGCATGGGGATGCACTTGCATTGCATTTTGGGGCCTTGAGTGTGTGTCCCGCACACCATTTTGGGCCTGGAAAGCTTTTTGCACCAACCTGGAAGTAAAAAATGGGCAAGGGGAGGCCGTGCACATGCACGGGAAGGCAGGAGAGTGTGGAGGGTCATGTGCACATGCATGGGGCACACACACATGCACAGGATGGAGTGCATGTGGGGTGGGCATGGGGTGGTGCATGAGCACTATCAGCACATGACAACAAAAAGATTAGCCATCACTGATTTATAGCTTTTTCCTCTTTCAACAAGCAAAAATAGTTTTTGTGTTTGCCAAAATACTTTTGAATCATATTTTCTCTTTATACTACTGTACAAACACGGTGCTAAACACTAATTTAAATAAATAGCTTAGCATGCAGACTGTAAAAGAGTTGATTGATGTGCCTTTCAGATATTTGTTGGCCACACTGGGAAGCAGCAGTATTTGCTATTGAAAAGTTTATGCTTTAGTTTTTTTAAAATCTTTTA